TTATTAAACAATTAAAATAAAAGAATAAAAGGTTTTTAATTATCTTTAGTCTCGGGGTTCTTCGGCTTCTTTTCCTCGTCCCCCCTTTTAACGGGCTTTAACATCGAACGCTTAGCATCATTCTCAATAATTTCATCAGCGACAACCCGTTCGTCTGTAGTAACATCATCGCATTTCTTAGAATTCTTACGTACCCAATCCGGAATAGATGTTTGATTTACGGCTCTCGCAACTTTCTTAGCAAATTTCTTATTCCACGTATTAAAACTGTTAATATTAATTCCATTTTCATCCATAAATCGCGAAATACGCTCACACCTGCGAATAGATTCCAACTTATTTCGTATAATGTCCTGTCTCAATTCATCACTATCTACCCGAGCATCATCACGCAATCTCCAGTCACAATATTGCGGATCTTTCATACAGTAATAAAACTTCTTTAATAAAGAATTTACTGCGGGTTCCTCCCGAGATTCCGTATATACATCCATAATGTCCATCCCAGCTACTTCATAATAGATATCATCATGAACTCTTCCGATCTTGCTCATGTCCGTTTCAATGTTTTAAATTTACTGTTCAGAGGGTTTTAATTTCCCAGTTCCGCTCAATGATGTAATCGCCAACTCGTGACACGCAAGAAAAAACCTCAACGCGGCATATTTAAAGTTCGCTCTTTTTTTTCGTTAAAACATTAAATGTCCGAACAAAAATTCAACGGAGAACCGAGTAAACAGGACGAACTACGCCTTAAAGAAGCCATTGAACATAACAAACCGCTACACTTTACTTCTAGATATCTCTATTTGACACTCTGGGGCGACGAAGTAGGAAACGAGACTCAATTTAAAGAATTAGTTGATAGGTTAGGAGGTGCAACATCCAATATCCAATACGCGCATATTTCACCCGTAGAAATCGACCAAGTTAATCCTAAACCTCATCAACATTTATTAATAGTTACAAAAAGACCTCGCTCATATAATGCCAGACCAATAATAATTCATTCAGATGGCACAAAACAGAAATTTTGGTACTCAAGAGTAAACTCCTACACTTCAAGAACAGGAGACATTTCGGCCATTATAAAATACATTACTAAAAGGGGTAAAGGCATGTTTAAAGGAACACCAGATGCCAAAGAAGAACTAAAGCAGACGTGGATAAATGCCTTAAATGATATGGACTCATATCACGATTATAAAGAATTAGAAAAAAATCTACTAGAAATAAATGCCGAAAAATACATTCAGCAAGAAGGAAAGATTAAATCAAGATGGTTGAGAAAAAACGCCAGAAGGATCGACATGGAAACATATACCAGAACAGACCTATTTCCCTGGAGAGAAGAAATGGAAGAATTACAAACAATAAGAAAATGGCTGAAATGCGCTTCCGGGGATAAATACCGAATGGGAAACCTGTTTATAGTTGGGCCCACTAAAACGGGGAAAACCGAGTTTGCTATACAAGAGATCTTTATGAAATACCCAACTTTTATGCTTAGAGGAGATTCTTTATTTGATACATACGATGAAGATCAACAATATAAATTTATATTATTCGATGATATAAATTATGACAAAAATTTACTCCGTTTAATTAAAGCAGTTACTTCCACAATAAACAAAAAAACGATGGTAAACATTAAATATTCAAAAGTAATAGTCACGGCCAGACCATGCGTCCATCTATTAAACCAGAAAGAATACGAAGGAGTAATTGAATTAATGAAATATGGCGGAGGATATAATTGGTGGAGAAGAAACTCCCTGACCGTATTTTTAGATAAGAAAATTTATAAAGACCCTAATGAATCTGATAATTCATCAGAAAACATGGAACAACGAGAAAAAGACTATAATGCATTAGATGATTTAGAAGAAAAATACAAAAATATTGAAGATATGACCGACGATCAGGAAGAAGAAAACAATCAACCGATAGAGCACGTCCCGTTTTATAACAGAGTATCAAATCTCATGGAAAGTTTAGGATACGACGAAGAATTTCTCAACGAATTTAATGAAAAAATAAAAGAGGCCAAAAAAGATACTAAGATGAAAAAAATACTAAACGAATCCCAAGAGAATAACGAAAGCATGTTAGAGGAATGGAACGAAGAAATAGAGAATTACCAAACAGATAATCCCCTGGGGATGTCAAAAGAAAATTACAGACAATTCGAAAACGACATGATGAACAAATTTGAAAAGGACAGAATGAATTACTTCAACAAGGAAGAAGACGATTCAATGGAAGAGGAATATGAAGATTTTACAGACGACGCGCCTCCAGAACACCGGTCCTTTGGAGGCAAGGACGATGACATGAACATAATTTACGATTAAGAAAGAATTAAATTAATTTATTTCTTTTTAT